CCCGTCACTGGAGCTCTCTTTCCCTGGGCCGTATCGCAGAATATGAAATAGTGAAATCTGAATACCATTATCTTGGTCAGCAGGATTCCAATCGAAATCATCTTCTATATCCTGTTTCCAGTCACAGACCCCGTGGTCAAAGCTGCAGTCAACTGAGATATTTAAATCTGCTGAGAAAAAAAGGGTGCATTTCATCAACATTAAGAGCATTAGGAAAGGGAATTCCCTGGTGGTCCAGTGGTGAGGACTCCACACCTCCACTGCAGGGGGCCCGGGTTCAGTGTTCGAACCCTTGTCGGAAACTACGATCCTGCAAGCCACGTGGCGCGGCCAAAAAAACCCCAAAAAACATTAGGAAAATGTTTAACACTGGGAGCTTTGGAAGGCGATGCCATGTTTTCAGTTGCTGTCAAGAGTTTAGGGAATTTGGGGGACTTCCCGGGTGGCGCCGTGGTTAAGAATCCACCTGTCAGTGCAGGGGATACAAGTTTGAGCCCTGGTCTGGAAAGCTCCCACATGCCGTGGAGCAGCTCAGCCCGTGCACCACAACTACTGAGCCTGTGCTCTAGAGCCCACAAGCCACAACTACTGAGCCCACGAGCCACAACTACTGAGGCTGCAAGCCACAACTACTGAGCCCACGTGCCACAACTACTGAAGCCCACGTGCCTAGAGCCCGTATTCCGCAACAAGAGAAGCCACCGCAATGAGAAGCCCACACACCACAATGAAGAGTAGCCCGTACGCCACAGTGAAGAGTAGCCCCTGCTCGCTGCAACTAGAGAAAGCCCGCGTGCAGCAATGAAGACTCAACGCAGCCAAAAATAAAATAAATAAAAAAGAGTTTAGGGAATTTGGGACTAGCAGATGCAAATTATTATATATAGGATGGCTAAACAATAAGGACCTACTGTATAGCGCAGGGAACTATATTCAATATCTGTAATAAACCATAATGGAAAAGAATATGAAAAAGAAATATATATATATATATATATATATATATATATATATACATAAAACAGTCACTTTGCTGTATACCAGAAGCTATCACAACATTTTAAATCAACTATACTTCAATTAAAAAAAAAGAGAGAGCTTAGCCAAGCTACTCCACAGTATCGCTGCCCTGGCATCCGTTTTGTTTGGCACCACGGCCTGCAGGGGCCTCTGACTGGCACTAGCCCTTGTGCAAGTGCACACCCTAGATAAGAGCCTGCGGAGTCACGAGTAAAAGTGAGTTCCTGGTATGACTTCCCCAACAGCCCCTGTGATCGACAGTCTCCCCTGCTTCCCAGGGCCTTGCCCTTGTGCACTCCTTAGATAAGACACCCTCGTAGCTTACCAAAACCCCTATTGTTTTTGTTGGAATCCACCAATCCAGGCTTTGCCCAGCAACCCCAAAGCGCTCCACACATGGGCCCTAATAGAGGCGTGTGCCCCACGTTCTGCCTCGACTTCCCTCTGTGGCCCCTGGAGGCCTTACAATGTAGTCCCCCAGGACCCAGAGTAATAAGCTTCTCTATCTCAATTTCTTTTGTGGGCTTTTGTTGAACCATGTGGCGCCCAGGGGCTCTACTTAGCGAATGTTAATTTAACAAATCCTAACAACTGCACTGGACTACAGGGCCAGTTAGTATAAGCTTTGAACCAGTGCCTCTGGCTACTTTTATGTAGATTAGGGTCAGAAAACTAACATCCTAGCCCACTGCTCGTTCTTGCAAATAAAGTTTTATTGAAACACACCACACGCATTCATTTACATATTGCCTGTGGCTGCTTTTGAGCTACAATGACAGAGTTGACAGATGCAACAGAGACGGTATGGTTCACAAAACCTAAAATATTTACCATCTGGCCCTTACAAAAAAATTCTTGACCCCTGATGTCAGTGTTAGAAAACACCACTGGGAAAGAGGGGAAAGACTGAGATGCTCCTGATTCATAACAAATGTCAGCCTCTGGCTTGGATTTGGGGGTTTTGGCAGTTTATACTGAAGAATAAAGGACTGGCAAGGAAAGGGGAAAAGCTAAAGAGAGAAGTGGCAGCAACTGGTTGTTGACTCATTACAAGTTGCAAAACATTTTCATGTACATTACATCATTTGATTTGTCACAAAAATTCTACAATCAGGCCCATTTTCAGGAAGTAAAACTGAGAGTCATAAGTGATTTGTCCAAGTGCCCCAGGCACTGAGGGCTGGAACTGGACCTGAATCCTAAATCAGACTGAAATCCAGACTGTCCATCTGCACATACCTTAAGCCATTACAAACACATGGCTTCTTCTCTCACTTTCCTTTCTTCCTAACCCCTATTTTCCCCTATTCCAGCAAAGATATTTTATTTCTAGTCCCAGTTTTAAAATTAAAAGATGGCAGGGGGATGGGATGAATTGGGAGATTGGGATTGACATATATACACTATTGATACTATATATAAAACAGATAACTAATGAGAACCTACTGTATAGCACAGGGAACTCAGTGCTCTGTGGTGACCTAAATGGGAACGAAATTCAAATAAGATGGGATATATGTATATGTATAGCTGATTCACTTTGCTGTACAGCAGAAACTAACAAAACATTGTAAAGCAACTATACTCCAATAAAAATTAATAAAAAAGGAAAAATAAATAAATAAAAAGATGCCAGGTAACACTTGCTTCCAGTTTTCAATATTCTTTAGTGAGTGCTATTACTCGTTTGATAAGTTGATGTTAGCAGCCCACAAATAATGCAACACAAATTTTTCAGTTGGTTTATAACTGTAGTGACACATTTGTCCCAAACTCTCCCTTCTTCTGTATCATGTGAGACATGGGGAATGTAAACTGGGGCAATGGAATGATATGTAGCCAACCATTCCACCAAGAGATAAAACTCAAGACTTTGGTCTCACCAGCACCATTTTTCATTTGTATAGCACTTTATGGTTTACAAAGTACTTTCAAATACATTCTCTGATTTAATCCATACCACCCTCCAAAACACATGCTGTTGGTGCCGCACCAGTACCCGTCAGCACGTTATGTTCTCTTGCAGGCACAGGGCTTTCTACTGCAAGCACCACAATTCAATGAGTGACAGTATTCTCTGGCTGGAGCATGCTT